CTCCCAGAGCACATCCCCGGCCCCAGCCCTGCTCCTGGAGCAGCCCAAACTTTTGGAGGAGGTTATCCAAGTTACAACCTTCCCCTCGGGTCTGCCAGCCTTGTTTTCCCGGAGCTGCTGGGAGCGTTCACCCCGCGCGCCCGGAGGAGGAGGAGGAGGAGGAGGGATGTGTGGATCCTCCCAGGTTTGTGCTGGCTCAGCTGCACCAGGGATTTGGGTGGGAAAGAAGAAGGGTTTCTGCTTGACAGGCTGAGCAAGAAGCAATTCCTCAGTGGAACTGCACTAATAGTGGCAAAACAAGTGTTGGTGGCTTCGGTGTGGGAGAGGGTTTTGTGGAGACACAACCTCGGTGGATCTTGTCCCAAAATCCAATGGGATGAAGTTCGTGTCTCCACATAAACTCTACCCACTTTCCACTTCCCTTCCAAAAAGTGAGGGTTTTATCTCTTTTGGGACAGAATATCAGACAGAGACTGGTTTCACCCACTGTATTCCTGCCCTGGGAGAGCTGGGAATGGTCCCCACGTGGCTCTCCCGGCGCTGGCAGAGCCCAGCTCCCCCTGCCCCACAGTTACACAGCTCCCAGCCTCTCCAGCACAACTCCTGCACCAATATTGCACCCAGATAAAGGCTCAGGAGGATGTTATTAGTGTAGATTAAGAGTCCAGAGCTATTAGGGAGTAATTACTACTTTCACAGCAACTACTTAACCCGTGGCTTAGTCCTTCAGCCACCAGACACGAGCCAGGGGCTGCAAAAGCTTTTCATCCAGGCAGGAACGTCGTGCCTGCAATAAATGGTGCCCTGGAATAGCTACAAGTGACCAATTTGCACTCCTGGCACAATTGCTAATCAATAAAATGGATTACCCTGATATCTTTATTATATGTGTTCCGGGTCCTTCCCTCCCAGCCAACCCCCGTATCTGGTTTCTCCGAAGTGCAGCCTGTTTGTTTGCCCCTCATGAAGTGCCTCTGCCGGGTACAAAGCCAACAGGGTGAAATAAATATCCAGCAGCATTAAATGCTGACCTGGGGCAGCAGCTCCACCCCGAGCAGGAGCTCCAGAGGTTTTGATTTCAGACAAAAAAACCCCCAGGCAGGCGGAATTTGGTTCCAAAGGCAGGTGTGTGTGTGATTTCCAGGGCTGGATGTCTCAGTGCTGAACCTCCCCGTGCCCCTCCAGCCCTGGGACGTGCAGGGGTGACAAGTGCTGCCCTCAGAATCCGTGTCCCCGCTGCTTCCCCGGGATAACCAGGGGTTCTCCCAGTGGATGATCCAACCCCTGCTCTCCCCCAGCCTCAGCCCACCCCAGCCACAGCAGCACAACCCTCCTGGCACTGTCTGTGCTCTGCTGCCTTCCCACGTCATTCCCGAGCTTCGGCTGGATCCAGGTGGGACAGGGACACTTTGGTGTCCCCCAGCTGTGGGATTTGTCTCCCTGCCAGTTACCCAGGAGAGCTGGGGCTGCTCCATCCCCCCCCTGAGCCAGCCTTGCTCTTCTCCCCACCACACCTGGCTGGGGGAGCTGGTGCTTCAGGAATCTGGGAATGTGCTGGGAAGAGCTCAGCTGTGTCCCGGGAAGGGTCCTTCTGCCCCGCCCTGAGACACCGAAACAAAACATCCCAAGGGCAGCTTTGACTGCAGAGAATTCCGAGTGTTGGAAATCTCTGTGACCGTGGAAAACGGGGCTGGAGTGACCTGAGGGGCTCATCCATTCCCTTCCCTGCTCCCAGACAACCTCAGCTCTGCTTCCATCTCTGAAGGGACGGAGCTGACCCACTCCCCAGAGTTTTCTGGAATGGGAATGCCGTGACCTTCCCCAGAGATTCCAGAGTTCAGCTCTCACATCCCTCCTCCAATGGCACCTCTCTCCCATTCCCAGCGGATGTGCTGGGCAGGATTTTCCCTTTCCCTCTGGAGCAGAGAGAGCTCTTCAGCTGCTGCTTTCCCTGGCACTGCTGGGGGCACCTCAGCTCTGCCCGGGAGCTTTGGGCTGATCCAACATTCCCTTTGTATCCAGCCCCTCCAGTCCCAGGGAGAGAGAAAGGAGGGAATGTTAAGCTTTTCTCCCTGGAATCACAGAGATTGGAGTATCATTCCAGCTGATTCCGTTCTGAACTTTGCTGCTGTCGGAGCTCAGGGGCTCCAAGCTTTCCCTGGGAGCTCTTCCCTCTCCCTAAAATCCCAGGAACGTCTCACAGAGGAGGAAACTCGTCATGTTTTGTTCTCACTTTCCCTGTTACACCTTTCCAGAGCAGAAATCCCAAACATGAGCTGGTTTCCCCCAGACCCTGATCCCACAGCCCGTGTCCAGCTCTCCCCTCCCTTCCCAGGGCTCTGTCCAGGCTCCCGTGTGGAATCTTGTGGCTCTCACACGGCAAAGGGAAGGGAATGATCCCAAGAGCCAGGACTCTGCCAGGGAAAAGCAACACAGAGAGAGCGGCTCTGGCTCCAGCTGAAGGCAGGGAGGGTTTGCCCAGCTCCTCATCCCATTCCCTGTGCTCATCCCATTCCCCGTGCTCATCCCATTCCCTGTGCTTATCCCATTCCCTGTGCTTATCCCATTCCCTGTGCTCATCCCATTCCCTGTGCTCATCCCTGTGCTCATCCCATTCCCTATGCTCATCCCATTCCCTGTGCTCATCCCATTCCCTGTGCTTATCCCATTCCCTGTGCTCATCCCATTCCCTGTGCTCATCCCAGCCCGGTATTCCCACTGAGCTGCGCTGGGGACACAAGTGATGCCCGGAGGGATTTCCAGGGATCTTTGGAGCTCCAGGCAGCACTTCCACCACTTCATCCTCCCTCCTGGGTTCAGACCTGCTTCCCCCTCCGGTGCTGGTGGGAATGGAACAGGTTTTTTCCCGATGGCAACACCCCAGACATGTTTTTAATGCCAGTCCATCCTTTTTAACTCCAAACAATCCCGAGGGCCTTTTAAAGCTCCAGTGGTTGTTCTCCAGGAATTCAGCTCACTGGGGTGGATGTCTCGGAGCCTTCCTGGTTTCCAGTCCTTTGGGGAGGAAAAAAAAACCCCACAACAACTAAAAATGGGAACCAGAAAACATTGGGAATATGAAATTCCCCTCGCTGCACACTCTGCTTGTTTGGTTTTCCCCAAATCCTTGTTGTTCCCCCGGGAATGAGGGACCTGTAGGAACAGAGAGCACACACCCAGTGCCCACCTGCCTTTGGAGCTGAATTCCACCCCTCTGGGGCTTTTTGTTTGAAACATCCACAGGGGGAAGGTTTATTTGGACCGTGGGGCTGCGTCCAAAGGTCCCACAACCACAACTTCCAGCTCTGCTGTCGCTGCTTCCAGAGGCTGGAGAGACGATCCAGGTTTGCTCCAGCACTAAAACCACCTGTGCTCTGCGGGCTTCACCTCGTGGCAGCTGTTTGAGTGGGGGAAAATATCCTTTCTTGTGCCTGGGAGCAGAGGCAGAGGCAGAGCCGAGCAGCTGGAGGGGCAGGAGCTGCAGGGAACAATCAGCTCCTGCTCCATCCCGAGCTGCAGCAGCCCAAGTGGCTGGGTCAGTAACCTGGAATTATTTCCATCTCGTGCCCTTTCTGCTCTCCAACGTCCCTTTTCTGGCAGCACCAGGGGTTTGGGTCAAGGTTGGCATTGTGAAGTGACCTACGTGTTTTTTAAGGTGACCCACAACAGAAAGTGCTGCTGTGGAGTTTCCCACCCCCCCCCCGGGACACACTTGTTTTGGGTAGGGAGAATTAGGGAGAAAGGCTGTGGAAGGAGTGGCTGAGCTTTCCCTCACCTCCTGCTCCGGGGAGCTGGAGAAGTGGAGGGATGGAAGCAGAACCCGCCGCTCTCGGGGGGATTTAAGCTCGGGATTGTAGGGCCCCCAAATTCCTCCTTGGTGAGCACAGACCTGAGATAAACCCATTTATTCCCAGCTGAAGGGACTCTGGTAAAAACACCCCCATCAGCTGGGAGGAAAACGTTTAATCTGGGCTCTGGAAGTGCTGCAAATGTTTGGAGGGGGGTTCAAAGGAGCGGCTCCGACTGGAAACAAGGTCAGGGGGAGTTCAGCAACGGCAGGATCCATCCCCCACGAGGCTTCCCCAGCTCTGCTGCTTCAGTTTATCGTCCCACCAAGACCAAACCTTTCCCCCCTCTGCCCCAGCCATCTGTAGGAGAAATGGCAGCTCCAGCTGCTCCTGGGGGGGGAGGTTTGAGGAGGAAAAACCGAACTGACAGGTTTGGAAAGGTCCTTCCCGAGCAGCAGTGGCATCTTCATCTGAGGGGGAAATTCAGAATGGGAGGGATTATCTCAACAACAACTTTTCAGGGCTCCTCCTGATAAGGAATTTCCTTTCCTCACGTTCAGACTTTACCACTCACACAAAGAAAACCACTGGAAAACCACTGGAAAACAACCCCCACCCTCCCCATTTCCATTGTGTGTGGAAGGGGGGGGGGGAATAAATGTGTTCCAAGCAGCTTTGTTTGGTTGCAGTTTGAACATTTCTCTGCGTGTTCCCAACCCCCCCACCGGGGAATTGGTGCTCCAGGAGGTCTGGGAGCAGGTCTGGGAGCAGGTCTGGGAGCAGGTCTGGGAAGCAGCCCCAGCCCCGGAGCTGGGGGGGCTCAGCTCCCTGCCCTGCCCTGGGGGGACCCAGAGCGGAAAAGCAGCGGCTGGAGAGGAGAAGCCAAGGGTGGCTGGGCTGTGGTTTTCTGTTGGGTTTGCCTGAGAGGGATTCCAGGTTTTTGGGGGCAGCAGTGGGGGGTTTCTGGGGTGGGAGCTGGCTGTGGAGGCAGAGCTGAGGGCAGTGTTTGCTTTGTTTTCCAGCGGAGCTCTGAAATGTTTGGGGAAGGGGCAGCTCCTGAGCCAGTTCCAGGTTTAACCATTTCCACCTTCCCTCCTCCTGCTCGACTTCCCAGCCCTCGGGGAGCCAAAGGGCTCTTCCCGTGGCTCAGCCCCTTCCCCGGGCTGGGGATGCTCCAGAGCTCCAGCAGGACAGCATTCCAGCGCCAGGGGGATGTTCCAGAGCCAGGGAGAACCAGGAGACTCCCAAGGATCCACCTCGAGCCCTAATTTTGTTTTAAAGCAAACCCAGGTGAGTTTTGCCCCTTGACAGATTTATCAACGTGGGGTTTGACAAACTGGATCTCGGATCTGAGCTGCTTTTTCCAGGCAGGAATATTTTCCACGTCGTAAAAACCGAACAAAAGGTGGTTTAAACTGGGATTCCACTTAAGGAAAGGGAAATATTTCCCAACTGCGACCCTGACTCTTTTTACCCTGTTGAGTTCTCACCTGTGTTTTTAAGGACAGCTTTGCTGCATATTCAGATTATTTCTGCTTGTTGAGGTTTGATTGAAACAGGTTCTGTGCGAAGAAAATCCTTATTTTTGTTTTCCCTTGTGACCTGGGTATTTTACTGAAAACTTTCAGCCCTTATTTATTGGGAAACAATTAATAAATATTTTCAAACTTCCGGAAATGAAGATTTTTTTTTTTCCCCAAAGTTTCTGAGGTTTCTGAGTGCATCTTTAATATTGTCCAAATTAAAACCTGGGGGTATCACCAGAGATTAAAAAATAATCACCTCCTCCCCCTCAAAAAAAATCAAATTAAAGAAAGATTTAAGTGATGACTGGGAGAAAAATAAGAGAATATAATCTGTTCTTGTTTGCAGCTAATCTGTCATAAAAAATAGTTTCTGTCTTAGATATATTTTTAGATAAATTCTGCCTCAACCACACTTCAGCAGCCTGCAGGGATTACACATTTTTGTATCAAATCCCCATTTTGGGGAAATCTCAGCTTCACTTTTCACCACCCAGTTTCAACCTTCCCCCTCAAGAAATTCCCCCCAACTCCCAAGTGGCAACAAACCCCTCTCTGAACCTGCAGATAAATTGTGAGGACCCATCAGGACCATTTCTGGCTGACTCAGAGATTTCAACCTCTTTAAAAAAAAAAAAATAAATCCCACTTTCCCCCAAATCGGTTCTGATGTGTTGAACCGTCAGCAGCTTTGTGCTGGTGGGAGAACGGGGCACTCAAACCTCAGCACGTTTCTGAACCCACGCAAAAATCAACTTTTCCGGGGGGTTTTAACCCCTAAACCCCCCAAGCCCGCCCGGAGAAGCTGCAGGGGGAGGAAAAGGCCCCGGGGGGCTCTCCCGGTGCCAGTGCCCGGGGGCAAACTTGTTGCTCAGGCTCCAGAAATCCCCCTGGAATTCTGTTGCAGTGGCTGGAAGGGTTGGGATCGGCCAGGAGGGAAG